TCATAACTATGCTACGCTCTCTATAAATAAAATGGCTATATTTTGCATGAGAAATCACATCTCAATTGTCGCTTTAAATTTCACTCCATTATCTCCAAAATAGCTTAGATTTTTAAAATGTATGAAAATAAACTATGTATATTGTTGCGCTTTTTAATGATGATCAATCAATGTCGATTTACTTCTTCTACTCTATATGGATTTGTTTGATTTCTTTTCTTAAATGCTTGAGGAACCAAGCTCATTCCAACTTAATATAATTAATGAAATAATTTTCAATTTTAGACAATATATTCCATAAGTTAAACAAATAATTACATATTATTCACGTTTCTTAGCGATATATACAGGGAAGTAAGTTTAATATAACAAGAATTGAATTTCTTTCAAATTATTTATTAGTGCTAGGTTTAAAATAAAACACGTTAGTACATACTGCGAATGTAATTTCGTATATATAAATTATCTACGTTCCTTATTTATGTAATTTTTATGTGCTTATAGTCAGTTGTTTTAATTCTTATTAAAGGGGAAAAAAATTGGCAGTTAATATCCATAATTGAGAAGTTTGATCCGTTGGATGAACTGTCGTCAGCGGTTTGTCAGCAATAATAGATAGAAGACCATTTATATTTTCACGATACTCTCGGCATTTTACGATCGACCTAATATTAAAGAGGGAAAATGTGCAGAGTTGTTTTAAATCGACTAAAGCAACGTAAGCTAAGCTACTTTTTAAGACTTAATATGTAATTTTTTTTTTACAAAATCATTATTTCATTTTTGACATGTCCCACTAAAAACGAAGTATTAGGCAGTTAAGAGATTTTAGTAATTTGTTCAGAATTTCCACTTTTCACCGATGAAAGAAAATCTCTTAAAAATATTAACAATATATTAACTACATAAGAACTCAATTTTGAAATTACAGAACTTGAAAAATTAAAATTTCTTTTGCCAATTTATTAGAGGAATTACTTTTCTACAAAGCGCTAAGTTGTAACAGGCGCTAATTATTTTGACATTAGCGCAGAATGAATTGGATAATAGCTAGGGGGGTTAAGTTCTGAAATTCATTACTGAAACGTTAACGACAAAGTAATTAGTCGTTTATAACATAAAAGCTACAGAGCGATATTTTTCCTTCTGACGAGGTTCTGTGCTAAACAGAGATGTTTATTATGCCAATCATGGGATAATTGGCAGGGGTATTGCAAATAGAACCGTTCGTCTTCAATACGGGGTATATCGAAGTTAAATTACAGGTAGCACGGTCTGTGCCAGCCGGTATGACTGTTATTATTTTAATTTATAGTGAAAATTAGAAAATCTATATGATTTTAAAGTCACGAATGGAAATACTAATGAGTACCGATACACTACAAGGAAAGGGTCATTATTCAATTTTAAAGAACACGCTGAATTAGCAATGCCTTTCTACATTTTTATGACCATTGGCATTACTTGCACACAAAAAAATTGTGCAATTTGTGATGATTTTTCCAGTATTCAAAGTTATCATATATCCATATTAGCTGCTATTCGCAATTTAGAACTCGTTTAGTGAGTAAAATTGGCTTGTTAAGCATACAGCTATTCTCTATTCAGAAGAATTTAGTGATGACATTGCTTATTTTCATTGCTCAAAGTAGTTAGTAAAATTGGCTAGTTAAATGTTGTCATCCTCAAGCGTGTAAGACAAAGGAATTCTCGATTCTCAAGACTAATATGAACAAATTTGGCTAATTAAGTACTGCTATTCACAATTCAGAATACTTGAATTAATGCAGTGCTTAACTAGACAATTTCACTCACAATCTCGAGCAGTGATAATAGCCAGTTTCACTTTCTAAAGATCATCTGATTTGTGAATGGCAGTGCTTAACTAGACAATCTCACTCACAATCTTGAGCAGTGATAATAGCCAATTTCACTGACAATCTTGAGCAGTGATACTAGCAAATTTCACTGACAATCTTGAGCAATGATAACAGTCAATTTCACTATCTAAAGATCTTCTGAACTGTGAATAGCATTTTAACTGGAAAGTTTCACTCACAATCTTGAGCAGTGATAATAGCCAATTTCACTCACAATCTTGAGCAGTGATAATAGCAAATTTCACTGACAATCTTTAGAGCAGTGATACTAGCAAATTTCACTGACAATCTTGAGCAATGATAACGGTCAATTTCACTCTCTAAAGATCTTCTGAATTGTAAATAGCATTTTAACTGGACAGTTTCACTCACAATCTTGAGCAGTGATAATAGCCAATTTCACTCACAATCTTGAGCAGTGATAATAGCAAATTTCACTGACAATCTTTAGCAATGATAACAGTCAATTTCACTCTCTAAAGATCTTCTGAATTGTAAATAGCATTTTAACTGGACAGTTTCACTCACAATCTTGAGCAGTGATAGTAGCCAATTTCACTCACAATCTTCAGCTGTGATACTAGCAAATTTCACTGACAATCTTGAGCAATGATAACAGTCAATTTCACTCTCTAAAGATCTTCTGAATTGTAAATAGCATTTTAACTGGACAGTTTCACTCACAATCTTGAGCAGTGATAGTAGCCAATTTCACTCACAATCTTGAGCTGTGATACTAGCAAATTTCACTGACAATCTTTAGTAATGATAACAGTCAATTTCACTCTCTAAAGATCTTCTGAATTGTGAATAGCATTATAATTGGACAATTTTACTCACAATCTTGAGCAGTGATAATAGCAAATTTCACTGACAATCTTGAGCAATGATAACAGTCAATTTCACTCTCTAAAGATCTTCTGAATTGTGAATAGCATTATAATTGGACAATTTCACTCACAATCTTGAGCAGTGATAATAGCCAGTTTTACTTTCTAAAGATCATCTGATTTGTGAATGGCAGAGCTTAACTGGACAATCTCACTCATAATCTTGAGCAGTGATAATAGCCAATTTCACTGACAATCTTGAGCAATGATAACAGTCAATTTCACTCTCTAAAGATCTTCTGAATTGTGAATAACAGCTTAACTAGACAATTTTATTCGTATTCTTGAGCAATGAAAACACCAAATTTCACTCACTAAAGGTCTTCTGAATTGTTAATGTACGACTTAATAGCCTATTTTACTCACATTATTGAGCAATCAAAATACAAAATTTCACTCACTAAAGAACTGAATTCTGAATAGCAGTGTTCTTAACTAGACAATTTTACTCGTGTTCTTGAGCAATGAAAACACCAAATTTCACTCACTAAAAATCTTCTGAATTGTGATTAGCAGTGCTTAACTAAACAATCTCACACGAGAAGGGTATTTCAATTTCGCTGACATTAGTTGAAGTGAATTGAGAGTTAATGTTTTTCACGATTAAGTTATTGACTATTGAAAATCTAGTCAATAGTGTTTTAATTAGATTTTCTTGTTTGTAATTTTTAACCAAAAAAGGTGAACCAAATGTATTCCCCCCTCGCACTGGTTCTGGTGAATGTAGAATGGACATGATGAGCCCCATTGAAAAACTAGTAGTCGTGGAGCAATAAGAATGAACGGACCAAGCCAGTTTTGTGCCTCTCCCGGTTGTGAAATGTTCCTATTTCCTAATTAATGTTTTTTAAATTTTTCTAACGTTTTTCTTCGAGGCCGACAAGGCCTAAACACGAACAGGTCGGACAAGAAAAGTAGAAATCTGGGCCGTCATATTAGGAAAGCAGCTTGTCCGTTTTTCCACGAATGATAAGGCGAGAAATAATTCTTTTTCCAACCTGCGATTCAGCAGTACATGGGTTTATCGCAGGTTTATCATTGTTTCCTCGTTTATTCCGAATAGGGTGGCGGTTGGAGGGGGCGAATGCTGTCTATTGCTACTTCCGCATATACGCCGGGGGAATGATGAATAAAATATAACATGGCCAGGGTACAGACGTTATGGGCTCTATTTTCGGAATGCAATTAACCTTTTTCTCCCCGCGGAGAAGGAATGAGGCCACGCCACCGCCGGTTCATGAATATGTGTTGAGAGTATCCTGCGAGGCTCGATGCAGGACGATTTTCAAAAGGAAACCCAGTTCGCCTCAATTAGAGGGGGAAGGGTAATGGCCTGGAGGGAAGAACGATCGGAAATTACATTGCGCCCGTTTTTAGATGCCTCCAGGTGCCGTGGGTCGTCCCGTGTGGTGGGGAAAAGTGGGAAAATTTCTTTGAGACAACTTGGAAACCTGTTGGACGAGAAACGCGCACCACTTCGGCTTTTTACTCCGAAAGAAAATCGTTAAGCGAATAGCATCCATGGAGGTCTTGCCTCTATCCCGAGATACAAATCTTAACGGTCGCTTAAATCTCAAATGATCGGCCAGTTGTGAAAATATGCCTGAGGTATGAGAGTCGGTGAGAAATTCCTGGTCCGGATGATCTCGCTTTTTCTACAGATTGATGATTGACGCCATCTTCAGCTCGTCGTTCAAACATAGAATCACAAACGACCTACATACCAATAAAAAATATTTATTTAACTACATGTTACCAACTTCAAGACCACCCAGAGAAATCCATGTCATATATGTCATAATTTCAACCTTCCTACCTACCCATCCTATTCAAATACTATAAATATATAGATTAAAAAGTTGTAAAGATGACATAACTCAAGACCTTGCTAAACCGACCTCCTTGCAATTATATACAAGAATAAAAATAAATCTACAACTTGCTGATGACCTGAATTCAGTCATAGGAATCTCACGTACAAATATGTACATATATTAGCAACTAGAACTGCCTTCTAAGACTTACAAGGAGAATAGAAATAGGGGATTTAAAAATTCATTTTAAGCCGCTTTAAAAAAAAAATTAGGATTTAGACGTCTCCGTACATTACGCAAAGTTATTAAACCCCGTGCCATTTTATCTACTTAGTTATAAGGTAAACGTAACGATTATGTTAAGAAGAAAAATTATCGAGGTAGTTCCTAAAGTGAGATAAAATTTGATTACTGACCTGGTGGATGATTGTTGACGGCGTGAGATGTGCCGGGTTTACTAAGATCCATCTCTTCTTCTTCCTCTTCCTCCGGGTATCCGCCTCCGTCGTCGCCGCTATCATCGTTGTTCGTCATGTTTTCCGTTTTTGAATCTAGTTTTGCTTCGACTTTGATATTGTAACTGTCTAGGGGCTGTGAGGCCGGCTTCGAAATGGGATGCGTCTCTTCTTTCACGGTGCAGATGGGAGGTATGATGGTCGCTGGGGCGAGGGGGACTTCGCCATCGTCGTTCTCCTCGCTCAACCTTCTTTTCCTCCTTTTCGGCGAGGAGTCGAGCCTCTGTTGGAAAGGCGGGGAATCAACGTTGTTGTTGTTCGTTATGAGCTTGGCGGAGCCGGGACGGGGCTCGACTATGAGCCCTTGGGGGAAGCAGGGCGACTTCGAGACCGGAGGCATTATGACTTTCCTCGGTTCGCTTTTCCTGTACAGATCGCCGTTGCCCGAACTGTCCGTCAATCCCTTGATCTGGAGGGATTCGGCAGCTTTCAGGAAAGCTCCGAGCTGTTCCTGGGATATGTTCACTTCCCCCCTGTACATATAGTCCAACATCGCTTTCAGCTCCCCGAACGTCACATCTTTAAGAATTATGATGGGATGTTTTTCATAGTGCTGGCTGAAGAGCCCCTGCGAACAGAAAACACACGCAAATCAGCATACAAAAAATACACAATACTCATTTAGTTATATCCTAGTTTCAGACATAGCATGTTTCTGTGTATGCTTTGTCCCATCTTAAAAGGGCAGTGGCCGGTAGAGAGACCTATAATTTTGATCAAATCCTGCCTGCTGAGTGGAAGAGGAGTTCCTCGCCTTCCTTTTTGAGAGATTTATTAGCTCTTAACTTGCCTCAAACTTGGTGCTTTCGTCCAGAGGTATGGGCTTTTCTTTCTCAAGTATAGTACGTTTTTACCCCTACACCGCTTTCTATTCCATCCTATGAGCTATCTGTCCACCACATTAGGGCTCCTTCCGGAAACTTGGGGCTTGCTTTCATCCCAGGATCTCTAATACGTACACTTGGAAGGGTCTGTCAAAGTTGAGTTTTTGTCTCATTTACTCATGAACGTCATGTCCATCTCATGTATTTTAATTCTTTCCAGAATTTTGTGGTGGCTCCTCTTAGATATGACTTTATTTCCTTGTATCTTAGGAGTCGTTGGCACTCTCAAAAGCCACTTTTTATACACAAATACGTATGCCCACTGCTGTAGTAGGATAGGTTATACACAACAGACAGACAACCTGCTTCGGCGGTATATATGCTAAAGGAGGTACTTGTTTTAAAAACATTAAAAGTGAAGACGCCATTAGAAGATGAGCTTAGGGAGCTCTTCTGCAAGTTGCATTATCAAAACCAGTTACAAGTGTTTGGGTGCTTATCAGGGTTTGTGGAGTGTCGAAAGATATAGTATGATATGCTAAAGTCGCCATCTGCACGAGCAAGGGAAAGTAAAAAGCAGAGGGTAGAAACTTGAAAAAGTGTTTTCAAAACCCATTTGATGAGAGATTTGACAAAAAGATTGAAATGTTGAGAAAAATGGGTTTTCAGGCAAATCCTGATACCCACGGACAAAATGGTCAGATTTTCCAGTTTTTTAAAGAAGGCATTGCAATAAATCCAAGCAGTACGGTGATTTTGGAACTAGGAAGTATTCATCAAGGGTTTGTTTCTATTGGATACGCTATAAACTCTAAACTTGTTTTTCCAACGAGGGTTCGCAACAGCGGAGGTAATATCAAACCTCGAGGCCGGTTTTTTTTTAAACCCGTTTGTTCGCATGCAGGGCCGCTGGATTCGAACCCGGGACCTTTACCTTACAGTGATGAGCGCCGTGTCAACGACTTAACCGTAGGCCACCGACGCCCAAAAAAGCATGGACAAGAAATGTCAAAATCACGACGCAAGGTTCCAACCAACGTTGGATCGAGCTCCTGGCTAAAAATGGCTAATCACAAAGGATCCCAACCCCCAGGGTATTTATTTCTTAATATGCTACTAATAGTATTTAGATAAAATATACAATAATTCGAACTACTAAGAACATAATCAATTCTTTCGGTTTCATAATGGAGAAGGCCTTACTATTACCACAGGTGGTATTATACAAGCAAAAAGTCCATGTCATCTGTACGGTTAGAGGGGGAAACCAAGAATAAAAAACATTTGTTGTTTCAAGCAACACAGGTTGCTTTAGTTAGTTAATTTAACAGGTTGATTAATCCTATTAACCAGCTTTTAAAAATGAAAAAAAAGACTCATTTTTAAAGAGGAATCAATGATCCATCTATTTCAAGACACAGGAATGGTTCATATTGAAAAACGCATTTATAAATTATAATAATTATGGTGACGTTTTCTGGCCATGCAACATTGTGTGAAATAACCTAGCATTTCCATTTCATACATTTTACATAACTAACCATCCCTAAACATAGCATCATACCATGTCACCTAGTTTGTGGAATATGGCACCACTTTCAACAAGTGTAACGATTTTTTTTTTTTTTAATCTCCATCAGTAGCAAGTCGAGTCTGTAGGATAACATTTGGAACTATTCTTTAAATTCAAAAATACTAAGACAAACTTGATCCCTATTCCGTAGGTTTTTCTAAGTCTAGTGACATTTTGTCGAGCTACTATCAATACTGGAAAGTAAATCCTCTAGAATTGTAAGAAAATGTTGGAGCAATATTAATCGTTGGAAATTTGCTCTAATATTTTGATAATACAGGCGATATTAGACTTGTATTAATAGTACAAATAAAGATGTGTATTTTACAAATATTTGTGTTACTAGTACAAAGGATATCGTTGTATTCTGAACAATTTTTATGATAATTTCGACTTTACAACTTGTACATTGTACTTTTTCATTATGAAACAAAATTGTACAAATTACGAAGGTACTACGCTAATAGGATTAGATTGTATTTCATTATGAAATAGGTCTCTGGCTGTACTTTGTGTATTCATTTGATTTTATAGATATTTTATGGCTTGTATTGCATTAATTTGCTTTCCTTTAGCAATAGTTTCTTTGAGATAAAAACATCTTTTTAATCAAATGTATTTTGATTTAGAAAATTTCTCCCACTGGAAAAAGTGGTAACCGGACAAATCGCCACACAATTTTTGCGTCTTCAGTCTAAAACTCTCATTGGCTGATAATTTTATAACGAGCAAACGCACTCTCACTGGGGCAAGAGTTCTCCAGAAAACCATGCTTTCGAATTCTGGACAACAATTCGATTAAATTAATCTTAATAACTTTTAATTATCTTAAAAGGGCAGAACGGGGATGTTTTTTTGCTCTTCAAACCGCGACTCGCTATCAGTTTCATTCACCACCAGATTCTGCTTCACAAACATTTTCGTGCGTCATAAACCTCCACGCCACAAAATAAAAACAAACAAAAAAACATTTTTAACCCGTCAAACCCAGCTTGCCTTCTTGGTGTAAAAAAAAGGTTTTATAACTTTTTTTTTATCCTATAATCTGAAAAGTGCCACTTAGTTAATCGGGACGATAGATAAACTTGCCCGTTCAGACTTTGACTTTCTTTATCAGGAGAGATATAATTTTAATTGAGTATTTCAGCTTTTCTTTATCCTCCAATGGCTTGACCCTTTTTCTAGGTCTTTTGTCTTGTCATCGCTAGGGGGAAAGCGTTGTAAATTAATTGGCGCGAGTAGACCGATTTTCTTGCACAACATTTTCCGTACGATAAATAAAGCGTAATTCGGATTTTTTCCCCTCCTGTCCAATCTCAAAACTAAGAGTAGGATGTAATTAAATATAGTTGCACGATAAAAAAAAAAAAAAACGAAAAATTGATTAACTTGTAAGTGGTCTCCCTTTTTTCGCCTCACTATCTCGCTGGAGACAAGATAATGGGGAGACTTTTGTAAAACAACAGAATATCAGTGGGACAAGATTTCTCATCGAGGAGAATTCTTTCGTAATAACATTCTCAAAGTCGAGATAAAAGAAATACGAACGCCTCGTTCAAAACGGAGATGAATGAACGAGACGAGGTGGTCAGGCCCCCGCCCCCTTTCATGGAATTTTGGCGGCAGAAGGACATAACAAATAACGAATTGTATATTGAAAAACACCTTTCAAATATTCAAATATACCTAATTTATACGGTTTAGTATATAAAATTCTTGATTGTATATAAAGTAAGCTTGAACATTTTAGGTAAAGATTATCTGGAGATCGTGAGAAGCGGTCTGGTGTGACGTAGGTTTTAGACGTCGTGCCAACGTTTCGATCTTTATTGAGATCATCTTCAGGGCCCGGGATTTATAAACACTGTTCTTTTTCACATCCTACATGTATTAGTAAAATTTAAAAAATGTTTATAATACCCAGGCCCTGAAGATGATCTCAATAAAGATCGAAACGTGACACGACAAAGAAAATGTTTTTCTAAAACCTACGTCACACCAGACCACATCTCACTATCTCCAAATAATCATTAACTGACGGTCACTAAACACCATACACTTTAAGTAAAAGTGCAAAAGCTAGTGCCACGAGCGGGATTCGAACCCATGACCTTCGGCTAAATACGCCGCTGCTCTACCACTTGAGCTATCGTGACTTCGATCCACTCGGACACGAAAGGTTGTAGGTTGAGATGGGGAGTGGCACTAGCTTTTTCATTTCAACCAAAACCTTACATAAAGATTAATTAATTGAAATTTTATTTAATTTTGTCTATTACATTGCGTTTCGGGCTTACGACCCATCATCAGTACCTGGACTATGCCATAGATACATGTATTTTTCCATCCCATTTTGAGTGGGATGTCAAAATGGTTTTAAAATCTGCCGCTATCCGCGTGAGACTCCACTTATTATAAAATGGTGATTATTGGTTTTTTACCAATTTTTCAAGCAGAGGAGGACGGAAAACAGTTTTTCGTTTTTTTTCTGTTTTCCGGCCTCCCCTGCTTGACAAATTGATAAAAAAACAATTAATCACCATCTAATAAGTGGAGGCTCAAGCGGATAACGGCGGATAGTGGCAGAGGTTTTAAAACCATTTTGACGACATCCCCTCAAAATGGGATGGACAAATGGAATATGTATCTATGGCATAGTATAGGTGCTGATGATGGGCCGTAAGCCCGAACGTCCATGTAATAGACAAAATTAAATTAAATATTTCAATCACGGGAGAACTTGGGATTTTTCAACCTTTGGATAATAATAACAAATAATTGTATATTGAAAAACACCTTTCAAATCTTTGAATATACCTAATTTACATGGTTTAGTATATAAAGTTCTTGATTGTAAATAAAGTAAGTTTGAACTGGGTAAAACTCTTCAGCCTTGTGATGAGGTATTTATTACATTATATTAAGATTTAAGTAGTGATCTTAAGTGATATAATAAAACAATATATTGCCAAGAATAAAAAAATACATAAATAAACGTATAACAATCCGGTTTCTCAGGATTGCCACTTTTTATAACGTTCAGAATTTATTTCGAATCCCTGTGGGGAAAACTTGGGGGCACCTGGGAATTCGTTCAGGTAAGTACGGACCCTTTTTTTCCCAGGGGGAAAGCACAGACCGGGCCTGTAAAACCCCTTTTCCTTTTCCAAA